CTGAGTGGTAAGAGCAAAATAGGTGGGAGTCTGCTACCTAAGCTCTAGAATTAGATAGAGGGTAGAGGCTCCTCAAGACTGGAGGCTGCATCTGCCCCTAGGGGAGTCCTCCTCCTCCAGGAAGAGGGGACCAAGGAGGCAATCAGGTCAGATTTATTCTTCTCAGACTTACTCAGCAAGGCCGTGTGAGGAAAGGGAGTGTGTGTGTTGGGGGTGGGGTGCCTGAAATATGGGATCCCTCTGAGGAGGAAACATCAGTGGGGTGGGGGACTGAAGTGGTCCCCTCTAGAAGCCCAATCTGAGGCCCCAGGCACAGTTTCTTTGGAGAGATGGGAAAGGACCTGGGGTGCTGGACAGGGGCCAACGCCAATTCTTATTCTCTCCAGTTAGCCTCCCCTTACCCCCCCCCACCCCGATATAAAAAGGGCTGTGCTCCCAAAGTGTCTTGGTAAGTCAAAACATAGAATTTGAGGCATTCCAATTAGTCTAGAATCACTTTAATCTCCTGCCTGGTTAATGCCTGCTCCTTTCTTTAAAGATTCTAAAAGTTGTTTGTATGTGTTCCATCATAGTTTTAGGGCTTCTAGAACCTGTTTCTTTCCATATGTAATTTTACCTGAAAACTTGAGTATTTTACTTGATGAAAGGGGCTACCCTCATTATCAGCCATGCTTATGACTTAGCTTCCAGGTGAGATAAAAGAGGAGAGCAGATTTTTCCACATAGAGTTAGGGGTGCAGAACATTGCTGTGGAGTTGAAGGACGTGTGCATATCAGTATATGTCACTGAATATGAAATTAGCGGAGTCAGAGAAAGGCAGGGACAGGACTCCTTCCTAAGGTCAAACATAAAGAGGTATTGGGAAGATGTGCTCAGTGCTGCCTCAACCTCGGGCTGACCTTCAGCTGGGCAAGGGACTGCTGGCAGCTCCCAGCACTGCCCGTCCTCAGCTATAGGATGTCTCTGAGTATGGTGCAAGGGATGCAGGACTGACCTGTATGTCTGTATATGTGAATAGAGATACAGCTATGCAAAGTGACCGATCATTGGAGTTTTTCCATTCTGTGAAAAATAAGGCCTGGCTCAGTGGTTGAGCATCCACCCATGAGCCTAGAGGTCACAGTTTGATTCCCGGGCAAGGGCACATGCCTGGGTGGCGGGTTCAATCCCCAGTGGGGGGTGTACAGGAGACAACCCATCAATGATTCTATCTCATCATTGATGTTTCTCTCTCTCCCACTCCTTTCCTCTCTCTGAAATCAAAAAATATATTTTAAAAAAAGTAAGCCACAGAATTCATTATCTTTCACACCAATAAAAATGAAGATAAAATATCAGTAATAAAAGCACCAGTAAAAATAATGATGCAGCATTACTGTATCCGATGCCTCTGATCCAAGCTTTGCTTACGTTTGCTGCACTAACCATGTGGTTGGCTAAGAATATGATCCTGTTACTCCCCCACCCCTAAGTCCAAAAACTCACAACCTATTTATCAGTGTAAATACACTAATACTCAAGAATCTGTACAAAAAGTTGGAAACTAAATAAATCAAAAACTTATAGGGGAAATACAAATGTCCCACAATTTTCAAGTTGATTATAATTAGTTTCTCTCATAAAAAATTTAGAGAAGGTTCTAACTAGCTGGTAGCAAGCACTGTAATGGATTCTCCAAAGGAAAAAAGTGCACCTATCCACAACATGCAGATAAATCACAGCTTAAAGTAAATGGGCTATGATTTGAAGATTCCAAAATATTCATTTAAAATGAAACTTTTGTACAGAAGTGCTGAGTACCCATCGATGGGCACTCTGCCCCTCCGCTGGACACCATGAAGAATCTGTCTGTAAGGTAATGGAGAAAGGAGAGATGTGGTACAAACAGCATACTGCCTGGCAGATAGTTGCTAGTGAATAATGCTGAAAGAAGGAACACATGGTTACCGATAAGTTAAATACATGTATGACATACAGAATTTACATGTTCATGCAGTATGTTGCATGTAGACACAAACCCACCCAAGGCCTTCTGGCTCCTAAGAGGCTCACAAAAGATCCATGTGTACAGATCATTTCTGCCTCATCTCCAGTAGCATACCTTTCAGTCCCTTCTCCACATACACATCAAGGAAAAGAGCTCTGAGGATTTATTTGCAAAGAAGCAGCAGAGGGTTCTGGGAAAGGCAGGGACAGCTTAAACCAGGGTCAGAAAGCCAAGCAGGACCCTCTCTGTACATCTCAGTTTCTAGCTGGTATTTTCCTTCTGCATGAAGAACTTTCTTTTTCATTTCTTATAATGTGATTCTGCTCGCAACAGGTTTTCTTAGCCTTATTTATCCTAAAATGTCTTTATTTCACCTTCATTTTGATAAAGTTTTCATTGGTTATTCTGAGTTGATAGTCTTTAAAGATATTATATGTTATCTTCTAGCTTTATTTGTTTAAATCAGTTATTACTCTTATTCTTGTTCCCTTTTGTGTAATTTTTTTGGTTTTTGCTTTGGCTGCTTTTAAGTCTTAATTTTTTTTTAAGCAATTTCACTATTTTCTGTCATAGTGGGTTGTTTTAGATTTTTTTGTTTGTGGTATTCTTTTGGTATTTATCTTTTGGAGCATTTGCTAAGTGTTCTGGATTTTCAAGTGGTGGTTTTATTCAAATTTGAAAATCTTCACATATTTTTTCTCACCTATTCTCTCATTTCCTTTGGGACTCCAACCACACATACTTTAAATTACTTAATGCCGTTCCACAGTTACAGTTTTTACCTCTTGATTTCCTTTGTGTAATTATCTGCACCTCATCATATTCACTTAGAGCCTTCATTTTTTAAATAAATCATTAGATTACTATAATGGTGGGGTTTCATTTCTTCACTTTGATAGATTTCCCTATGCTGTTGGCTAGCATTTTATTATTATTACTAATATTTGCCATCGTGTTACTGAGAATGTGCTCTGGATTAAATTATTTTAATTGCATTAAGGACTGCACATTATTTTTATTGAGTATAATTCTCAACCAAGGGAGTGTGATGGCACTAGGCTGCAGGGAGTGCTTTCGAGCCTGTTCACTCCCTGGACTCCTGTCTGCATGTTTGCAGGGACCCTGGCCTCAGTCCTCAGACCCTTCTCTTCCCAGTTTTGCCCACTCTCCATATGATCTCATCCAATCTCATGATTTATTCAGGGGTGGGGAATGACCAGCCCGTGGGCCATATGAAGCCTGCAAAATAATAATTTGGTCTGGCCCTGCAGGCATTAAGGGTGAGTTAATTAAATGTTTGACCAAATGTTTGACCAAATATAGCAGGCTAATTTTTAAGTTGATAATTTTGCATGGTCTGAGAATGATGTGATACATATCCACATGGCCTTTGGCAGAAAAAAGGTTCCCCACCCCTGGCTTAAAATAATGGCCACAAGCTGATTCCATCTCCAGCCCAGACCTCTTCCTAACTCCAGACCTGTGTATTTCACTGCCAACTTGACACCTGTACTTAGATAGATACCTCTCAGGCCTCTCAAACTTGACAGTTACCTGTAAATCACATGCTCCTCCTGTGTTCTGCATTTTGATTTGTGGCATTTCTATGTTTTTAATTGTTCAGCCCAAGCATCTTAATACCTCTGTAACTACGCTTTTCCTTTAGCCGATCAGCAAATCCTAGTAGCTGTTGAGTTTCAAATGCATCTAGACCCTGGCCACTTCTCACCACGGTCACTGCTACCCCACTGACCCACCCTTGGATTACAACCTCCTCCCCTGCTCCCTTCCCTAGCCCACTGCAGTCAGTGCTCAAAACAGCAGCCAGCAGATCCTATCAAATTTAAACCACATCAGGTCATTTCCCTGCTCAGAGCCCTCTATGCTAGTGGCTTCCCGTCTCACTCAGGGTAAAAGTCAAAGTCAAATGTGACCTATAAGGCCCTACGTGAGCGGACTCACCTTAGCTCTTTCTCCTCATCTCCTCTTGTTTCCACTCATTCGTTCTCCTCTTTCCCACTTGGCTATTGCTTAAACATGCCAAGCAGCTTCCCCACCCCTGCCCCCACCTCATTTGCTTCTCCCACTGCCTGGTGTATCCATACAGCACCTTCATTTCCTTCAGACCTTTCATTTAAAATCACCTTCTAGTGAGCCACCCCCCCGCAGCATGCACTGTTTCTAAAATGTCAACATCCTCCCGTACCCTCCCATACCTGCATTGTGTTATATGGCCCTTCCCTTCTTTTATTCCCTAGAGTGTATTGCTGTACATTTGTGCATTTTACCTAATTACCTCATCTGTTGTCTATCTCCCCACAATTGAGTGAAAGTTAATGAGATCAGGGATATCTGTCTTATTAATTATTGTATCCCTAGTGTTTCTAATAGTACCTGGTACCTACTGGATGTTTTGTAGATATTTTTTGAATAAATAAATGAGTGATAGAGCTAGGCTACAAGTTTACCTGTTGCCAGTAGATGCCACTCTCTAAACATATTCCCACATGTGAATGTTTTTCCAGTTTCGTCAGCAGAATGAAAGTTAAACATGTGCAATAATTACTGTATAATTTGAAAGTTTTCTGGTTGAAATCACATTTGTAAACTGTTTGTAGGCATGGCAGATTAAACAGCTGTGGCAGGACCTTCATTCAGATCAGTGTTGTTGTGATCCCTGCATATAATTCGCACATCTGAAAGCTGCATGTAGCTATCAAAATATTTAAACAATGGGGGAGAGCAGCTCTCCTTATATGAATGAGGAGATGAACAAACGTTGATGTTAATCTGATCATCTGTAATCCAAAGTCTCATCTGTGTTCAGCTGACCATCCCTGTGCCTGTATTACCCATAAATCCTGTTTCTCTTCTGCTTCTTTGAAAAGGAGATTTCAAGGAAGGAAAAGGGAAATTTTATATTCTGAGTATGCTGAGTATGCATGTTAGTAATTTATGTCAGTATAATAATCTTTGTTTTAATAGTTGCTTTTTAAATTTTATTTTATGCAGGGCAACACAACTATTTATGTGCTGGAAGAAATGATTGCATCATTGATAAGATTCGACGGAAGAATTGTCCTGCCTGCAGACTTCAGAAATGTCTTCAAGCCGGAATGAATTTGGGAGGTAAGTTTTGTGTTTTTTTAGTTCAGTAAAAATTGTTACTTTGTAATATAATACCACTAGGCTCTATGTACTCCCAAAATTTAAGATTTCCAAAACTCTAACAAGTTCTATATTCATGCTAAAACATTTTTGGAGAAAAGTATGTCTTAACAGGAGTTTAAAAGAAGTATGTCATGTGGCGTTGGTTCCAGTGATGTTTTCACACCTGAGTTTGCCAAGGTTTCAAGAACAGAGCACATAACCAAACAAAAATGAATGACACTTCATAAGTATTGTAGCTAACGGTTTCTGTTACCACATCTGCTTTAAATAATGCATACATGTGATAACATTAACCAGATAGGAATACGTTCCTAACTCCTGGAGAAATGTAATAAAGGAAGACTTAAATGAGCAAAACTTTAAACTGTTATAGGAGCTCACCAAACAAAGGTGGGAAGGAGGTAAAAGACTTGAACCAAACACAAAAGTACACACATTCATGGATGTTATTCAGCAGAGGACTCAACCTCCTAATGGTATCAGTTTTCCCTAAATTAATTTATAAATCTAACACAATCCTAGCAGAAATACCAGTTGATGATTCTGAGTTTCTAAAGGACAGCCAGAAAAATTCTGGAAAAGAAAAATAACAAGGGCAACTAGCTCTCCCAAATGGTTAAACATATGATACTGCTACAGTAATTAAATAGGCTGTGTATTTGTTTACTGATTGTCAACAGAAAATCAAGAAATAGATTCAAATAATATGAGAATTTTGTGTATAATAAAGTTGGCATTTCAGATCAGTGGGGAGAGGTTAGATTATTCAACAGAAGTTATTGTGACAACTGGGAAGCCATCTGGAAAACAAAGTTGAATCCAAACTCTTACTATCCACCAAAATAAATTCTGAGTATTTCAAAGATTTAAACTTTGAAATATAACTACAGAATTACCAAAAGAAAACATGGTTTTAAAAATATATATATTCTCTAAGTAGAGAAGACCTTTCTAAGTATTTAATAAACGCAGAAGCTATAAAAGAAAAGAATCGAAGAAATCACCACTAATTGCAAGTCAAATATTACTGCAAATAGTGGCTGGTCCAGAGAGGCCCAGGCCGGTTAAGAGGCAGAATGCCTGCTTGGGAACCCTTGTTCAGCCACTTTCTAAACATGTAACCTCAGGCAAGTTACCAAGTTTCTGTTCATCTATCACTTGCATCGATCACAATCAGTGGTGTGATGGGTGATGGTAATGCTCATTGCAATTTCTATAGCACTTTCACACATTATGTGGAAGACAGTATTTCCCCATGTTTTGGTGATGGTAAACCTCAAGTGCTTAGGGAAGTTAAGTGACTTGCCCAAAAATGCCCAGCCAGTAAGGTGATGAAGCTGAATGGTGGATCTGTGGGCTCCTGGTCTGATGTTTTTGGTATACCACACAGCTCCCTTCTTCTAATAATCCAAATCATCGCAGGTGTGGCACAAAAGATCGCCTTCTGGCGCAGGTGAGTGGGGATCAGGAGAGATTAATACTTTACCATCTGAATGGCACAATTGTACAGCCACTGGTTGTAAAAGGAATTCTAAATCAAGTTTGTCAAGTCCAACATCAGAGGTCTGGTAGGATGTGACACAGCATTCATGTGATCTGTTGTTGGTTTCTGTACGTGTGGGATATGTCTGGTTGGTTTTAGTAAACCATTTTGATAAAGAGAAAGCTTGCTTTGAATCTTGAGATCATTGAAAGTAGTGAGTCAAAACGGACAGAGTGGAAATTAATATTTATGAAAGTAGTATTTTATTTATGGTCAAGTTATAATTTAACCACTTCTGGTTCATGGATTAAATAATTAACTTTTACTAATTATCCAGTTGCAGTAACATACGTTGTAATTTTCTTTTTCCTTTATCACTTATTCTGAAGCCTCTCTTTTAGTTTCCAGTTAGGCCAAAAGAAATGCTAGCCATTTTATTATATTTTTTTAAAAGGTAATGCAAAGTTTAACCTTTTAATGAAAAGTGATTTTTAAAATAAAAAAAATGTGAATTGAAACCTTTTCAGACATGTTCCACTATCACCCCTGCTTTCCCAGCAAAGCAGAGCTGACCAGTCCCTTCTCATCCAGCCCTCTCCCTGCCACCTCTGGAGGATAAGGCAGATGACCACCCACTATAATACTGGGGAGGCATTTTCTGTTAGTGAATGATCCTGACTCCCAGAGCAGAATTAGCCAAACCCTTCTAAAGACTTCACGGGTCCCAAACACTTTAAAATGCTCTTTTCCCTATCCTGTCAGCTGGTTAGAGCGTAATCCTGCCCATGCTTCCAAAGCAGGCTCTCCTTTAGAAAGTGGAGGCAGGGGAAAGAGCGATAGGTTTGTATTCCTCAGAAAATAAAGCCATAAATGTGCCTCTTCCCTTTTGTCGAGATCCACTCCCTCCCTCCCACAAGTACTCTTCTTTTCTTTAAAAATCCTGCTGAGCTTTAGGCCGCATACAAAGGAAAATATAGCAGGAGATGTGAGCATGTCAACAGAGAAATGGAAAGGAAAATAGCAGCTTTTCTGGCCCCAAGCTGGGCCTGCCATTCTTAGTATAGCCCCTATTAGGAGATCTAAAAAAAGGTCCTGGTTCTGTATGCAGGAGCATTTACCTCCTTCTCCAAAGGAAGGAGTCACTTTACTGTTACATGCCAGTATCCTGAAGAGCATGATCTAGTCATGTCTTTTAAAGGTTCTCCTAAAAAATATAAAGTTCAGCCTAAAAGCTAAGTGGCCCTCAGATCAAAAATGAGTCCTTTGGTGTGTTTCTGGCTTGTCTGCACTTTGACCATAGAATATAGAGGGGATCTTAGAGGTGTTTTGTTTTATTTTGTTTTGCTTTGTTTCTATTCCAAGCCTCCCATTTTACAGCTAAGAAACTTGGAATTCAAGATCCTATCACTAGAGACCTGAAAAATGCATTGTAGTCATGGTGACAGGATGATTGCTAGACTTGCTGCAGTGATTACATTGTCGAGTATATAAATGTGGAATCACTATATTGTACACCTGAAACTAATAGGATATTGTATACAAACTATACTTAATTTTTTTAAAAAATTTATAAAGGATTTTAATTCAGTTGCCTTTCCATTTTTTCAAAGCACCTCTCCATGTCTCATTTTTCACTAGATATTCTAAGAAGTCCATTTTTACATTCCTTTAATGAAGATTCTAAAATATTAAAATCTTGCTTCCTGTAGCTTTAAAAAATGTAGACTTCAAAACCACAGGATAATCCTAATTCTGGTTCCAGTGTACTTCCATCACATACCTGCAGCTTTCCTTAATCCCAGCAACCACTTTTACTCAGTTTACCTGGAGCGCTTCAGCAGGGGTGGGGAACCTTTTTCCTGCCAAGGGCCATCTAGATATTTATAATATCATTCCCGGGCCATACACAATTATCAACTTAAAAAATTAGCCTGCTATCGTTGGTCAAGCATTTAATTAACTCCCCCCTAATGCCTTGGCAGGGCCAGGCCAAATGATTTCTTGGGCCTTACACAGCCTGTGGGCCGAATGTTCCCCACTCGATTTATTGGGTAGCCAGATCGGGTCCACCGTTTCCTCTTGGAATGGAACATGTCACGTGGAAAGAGAAAAGGATGTCGGATACAGGAAGGAGTAGCAACAGCAGACATCATGGTTGCTTTTTGGGAGGCAGAGAAAAGGCAACTAGGTTAAAAATTGAAGGGACACAAAGCTCAAATGCTGGGAGTCATTCAAAGAAACAGACGCTCTTGTGCATTATTAACAAGAATGGAACCAAAGAGAGGAAAATATTTAGATTAATGGTCATCAACATAATGCAATATTAATCAGCCAATAAAATCACAGCAATGAAAATTCATAATGACATAGAATACTTTCTGGAAAACCAGTAATAAAAAATTATTTTGGTTATTCTGTGATTACAACTATACATGAAGAGACTCACGTGAGTCAAAAGACGAGAAAGAAATGTTAAATACACAAAATGATTGTGTTAGTGAGGATTATGGACAAGGCTTTTCTTCTCTTTTTTTCTAGTTTGTGAATAATATGAACATGTTTTATAACAAAATTTAAAGAAAAGAGTTCATAATTTTGGACAAAAGAGAAGGGAAGCAGAAGATAACTAATAGTGCTTCTGAAAACTTAAAAGAATTAGAAAAAGTAAAGAATTAGACATCCGAATAGCCAAAGGAGTAGATTTTCCTGAACAGGAAGGAGTGTTTGGGGGGTGGGGAATAAAATGATTGAGACATCAGTAAGTCCCCTGCTGTGAAATGCTTTAAAAACTGAAATGAAGAAGTAAGTGAAAAATAAATGACCCAGAGACCAAAGAGTGACAGAATCATGACTGACTCACCAAGCGCAGAGAGAAAGATCTTTTTACTTGAAATTGGCTTTATCTGCCAGTATCTTGCTGCAACTGGTTGGCTTGATCACCTGCAAAACTCGGGCAGTGTAGGTCTGGTGAGAGAAATTACAGGATCAACTCCGGTGAGAACGTAGGTTTAATATCAGAAATCAAATAAGAAAAACAATTTTTGTATCTCTAAGGGTCTCCTGAGGCAGTATATACAGTAGTCTGTAGAAGTTTAGAAAGCCCAAGTGTAATGACTTTTGTGAAGAAATACCATTCCCCAGATATTTTTTCTTCCTTTCATTCCTCTTGCTTCTAGGCAGTAAGAATTTCAGTGGGACTTTTGAGCAGGAAAGAGGAGGGGGAAATAGCACATTTGTATAAACTGATGAAATTATGTTTTTAGAATCTCCATATATAAGTTACACCGTATTAATTGTCATAGTGATATGATTGGATTAAGCAACTGGTATTTTTACCCTACAAATTTTATGGAGGAGAGTTCAGAATTGGTGCCAAAGCAGATAGAATTTAAAGATGTTCTGTATTTCTTCAATTCCAAGTCATTTTCTTCCTTTCAAATTTTAACTGTTATGATTATAATTTGCAGTCAATATG